ACTCCTCGACCACTCGTTCCACCACCTCCAACTCCACCTCCTCCTCCTCTTCCACCACCTCCGCCTCCTTCTCCCTTCGTTCCTTACCGTCTTTCCTCCCTCCCGCACTCCCTCCGTTTCTGCGTTGATTGGGTTCGGGGAATCGTAGCATCAGTTATCCCTCCCTCCCTCCTCATCGGAGGAGGAAGAGGAAGAGGGCGGAGGGACAGCTGCCTCTCGGAGGAGGAGGAGGAGGAGGAAGAGGACGGAGGACGAGGACGAGTCCTCCTCCTCTCCCTCTTCTCCGTCTTTCCTCCTCCTTCCTCCTCCTCCTCCCCTCCTCCCTCCTCTCCCCCTCCTCCTCCCCTCCTCTCCTCCTCCTCCTCCCCCTCCTCCTCCTCCTCCTCCTCCTCCTCCCCCTCCCTCCTCCTCCTCCTCTCCTCCTCCTCTCCTCCTCCTCCTCCTCCTCCTCCGTCGTGTGCAACCGCGCCGCTCCGCCCCTGGACCGCCTCCCCCGTGCCGCCTGGCCCGCGGACTCCTTCGCCCGCGGACCGCTTCGCTCGTCGTCACGTGTTCTGGCATCGATCTCGTGGAGGCGATCCCTAGGAGGAGGAGGAGGAGGAGGAGGGAGGAGGAGGAGGAGGAGGGGAGGAGGAAGGATGAGGGAGGAGGAGGAGGAGGAGGAGGAGGAGGAGGAGGAGGAGAGGAGGAGGAGGAGGAGGAGGAGGAGGAGAAGGTGGAGAAGGAGGAGGTTGAGGCACGACCGTGCGTACACTTCTGCATTGTGTTGCCAGAGATCGCGGCCGTCCGGACCATCCTAGTTGAGAAACAGCCTACGTCCCCATCTGGGGGGGGGGGTAAGTCGGCCAACGGGGCCCAGGCCACGTCCGTGGGGATAGGGATCGGTTAAGCGATGCTCGTGGTCGTCGCTGGTTCGTCGGCGTCGCCGCTCGTCACAGCCCCTCGTCGTCGTTGCTCGTCGTGGCTGGTCGTGGCCTGCCCATGAGGGTCCGCCCGCTCGTTTGCTTGCAATCCCGCCCGCCCGCTATAATGTCCCACCTGCCCGCCTCGCCCCCTGAGATCCGACGTCGCGAAGAAATTGCGACATCGCGAAAAGCCACCAGCAGAACCCGAGACCCCTTCCCTCCGTGACGTGTCTCGAGCCAGATCGAGCTGTGCGGGCCCCGGGCCCCGAAACCGAGCGAACACGCCCCGTGTGGAACAATGGCAACGCCCGTTCGACCCGCCCGCTCGACCCGCCCGCCGGCAGCGCTCGAAGAGGAGGAGGGCGGAGGAGGAGGAGGAGGAGGAGGAGGAGGAGGAGGAGGAGGAGGAGGAGGAGGAGGAGGAGGAGGAGGAGGAGGAGGGAGGGGGAGGAGGAGGAGGAGGAGGAGGAGGAGGAGGGAGGAGGAGGAGGAGGGAGGAGGAGGGGAGGGGGAGGAGGAGGAGGGGGAGGGAGGAGGGGAGGGAGGAGGAGGAGGGGAGGAGGAGGAGGAGGAGGAGGAGAGAGAGGAGGGGGAGGAGGAGGAGGAGGAGGGAGGAGGAGGAGGGTTGGGGTCCGCCCGCTCGGCCCGCCCGTCAGGGCCCGCGCCGCCCGTCGGCAGCGCGGGCCGCGGGCAGGGCGGTCCGGTCGCGGGGCGGTTCTCTGGCGAGGCGGTCCGCCCGCGCAGCGGCCCGCTGGCGCAGCGGTGATCTTTGGCGGAGCGGTCCACCGGCGGAGCGGTCTTCGGTCCTTCCTTCTCGAAGTTTGTTCGCCCTCCCTTCCTCCTCCTCCCTCCCTCCCCCTCTTCCCTCCTGCCTCCCTGCTCTTCCCTCCTTCCCTCCTCCTCCTCCCTTCTCCCTCCCTCTCCTCTTCCCTCCTGCCCTCCTCCTCCTCCCTTCCTCCTCCTCCTCCCTCATTCCCCCTCCTGTTCCTCCTCCTCCTCCTCATCTTCCCTCCTGCCTCCCTTCTCCAATTGTTTCGCCCTCCCTCCTCCTCCGTCCCTCCCTCCTCCTCTTCCCTCCTGCCCCCCCCTCCCTCCTTCCCTACTCCTCCTCCTCCTCCCTCATCCTCGCTCCTCCTCGCTCCTCCTCTCTCCCTCCCTCCCTCTTCCTCCCTCCTCTCTCCCTCCGTCCTCCTTCCTCCTCCCTCAGTCCTGCTCTCTCCTCTTTACCCTCCCCTCACCTCCCTCCTATTACCTCCTCCTCCTCCCTCCTTTCTCCCTTTCCCCTCCCATCCCCTCCCCCTTCCCTCCCCTGTCTCCGTCCCCTCCCACTCCTCCCACCCCTCTTTCACCCCCGTTCCCCGTCCCGTGCCTCCTGCCCTCCCACCTCCTCACATCCTCATCCTCCTCATCTTCCTCTTCCTCTTCCTATTCCTCTTCCACAGTACCTCCGCCTGCCACCGCAGGGGTGTGAGCGTTCTCCCAGGCGTCTTTGTGTGTGTGTGCCATGTGTACAGAAGACCGAGTGCACAGTTTTCGTTGCGTTGTGTGGCGGTAGCCCTGTTTCATATGGAGGAAAATTACGCATCACATGATGAGGTTGATGATGCTGACGATGACGATGACGATGATGAAGATGATGATGATGATGATGATGATGATGATGATGATGATGATGATGGTGATGATGGTGATGATGGTGCTGATGATGGTGTTGGTTGTGGTGGTGATGATGATGGTGATGGTGATGGTGATGATGGTAATGATGGTGGTGGTGGTGATGACGAGGAGGACGACGATGACGATGATGAGGATGAGGATGATGATGATGATGATGATGATGTTGCTGGTAATGGTGATGATGGTGGTGGTAGTGGTAGTGGTGGTACTGGTGATGATGCTGATGATGCTGGTTGTGATGATGATGGTGGTGGTGATGAGGGTAGTGATGATGATGATGATGATGATGATGATGATGGTGGTGGTGATGATGATGGTGGAGATGATGACGGTAATGTAGATGTTGATGATGATGACGATGACGATGATGTTGATGCTGATGATGGTGGTGGTGGTGATGGTGACGATTCTGATGATGATGATGATGATGATGATGATGATGATGTTGGTGGTGGTGCTGGTGATGGTGCTGGTGATGATGATGATGGTGGTGGTGATGATGATTATGATGGTGGTGGTGGTAGTGGTTGTTGTGATGATGATGGTGATGATCATGTTGATGGTAATGATGTTGCTGATGGTGGTGATGGTGATTGTGATGGTGATGATTATGTTGATGACGAGCATGATGATGAGGATGATGATGATGATGATGATGAGGATTATGGTGGTTGTGATGATGGTGTTGGTGGTGGTGGTGACGAGGATGATGTTGTTGTTGATGATGCCGATAATGCCGATGATGATGACGATGATGAAGATGATGATGACGATGATGAAGATGATAATGATGATAATGATGATGATGATGATGATGATGATGATGATGATGATGATGATGATGATGATGATGATGATGATGATGATGATGACGACGTTGAAGACGATGATGCTGACGGCGATGCTGATGATGATGCTGTTGATGATGATGGTGGTGGTGGGTTTGGTGGTGGTGATGATGCTGATGATGATGGTGGTGGTGGTGGTGGTGAGAGGAGAGGAGAAGGAGCGGGAGGAAGAGGACGACGACGACAACAAGGACAGTGAGGACGAGGTCGGAGCGATGAGGGTGATATGAGTAGGCGATGATGATGGCAGCCAGGAGAAGAATTTGGAGGAGGATGGAGTGGAGTACGATGGGGATCAGGGCAGCTGGGTCGAGCGAGTGAGCGGGCCCCGTCCGCTCACACCTCCCTCCCACGCCACACCAATCAATCGTGGCGCAGTTTCATCTCGGGACCGACACGCGCTCCCGCCCCGCGAACGGCAGGCGCTCGCGCGCGGTCCCGCTTCCGCCGAGCTGGCGAGGGGAGAAGGTGGAGTAGGATCTGGATCATAAGACACACATGTACGAATACATACATTATATATATACGTATATAGGGCGAGAGAGACAGAGAGTGTGAGATGGAATCGGGAGCGATAGTGCCGCTACCGCTCCGAGCACCGCGCGTGGAGACCAGGAGGAGGACGACTACTGCTGCGATGACGTCGACGCCGGTGGTGCCAGCAGCGACGGGACGACGACGACGAGGACGGCGACGACGGCGACGGCGGCGACGACGACAGCGGCGACGACGACAGCCCAGCGATGCGGGGCCTCACGACGATAGGCCAGCCGGTGCCCCGTTTCCTCGAGCCCGCACGGGCCACCGCGAGCAGGTACGTGTACACCCTGCTGCGAGGCTTCGACGAGGAGGCCTACAAGCAGATGAAGATCTCGGAGGGCAAGAAGGTTAGAGAGCCACGACGAGGCCGCCCCGCTCCTCTCAGGAGGGGGGAAAAACACACAGACACAATTACTCGTCGACTCCCAAGAAAATATGGGAAAATATGGGAAGTGGGGGTAAGACAGAAACCCAGAAAATATAGGAAAATATGGGGAATCTTGTTATTTGTGTCTATCTATTTGTGTGTCCCAAGGCCCCTTCATTCATAAACATGAGCTTTCGGAGGTCCGCGCTGATTTCTTGGATTGGCGCTGGACCCCTTGGCGGCGCCTGCAGCGCAACCCCTGGCGCGCTCCGCGCGCCAGGGAGGGGGGTCCAGCGCCGATGCAAGAGCTCCGCGCGGAGCTCCCGGAGTTTGTGCGCACGCTTCTGGCCCTCCAGCTCATCAGCGGCTTGCAGACAGTGGTGTGCCGCCCGGGCGAATCCTGCCCTCGCTTCTGTCGGCAGGGCCCGAGCGCTCGATCGCCGCCTGCCCCCCCACGGAGGCTCGTCGCCGTGGACGGGCGGCCCGGCAGGGAGGGAGGGAGGCCGCCCCGCCGGGCCACGTCCGCATGTGCGCGGGCGCGCGGGGGAGTGGGAAGTCCTCTCCTCCTCCTCCTCCTCCTCCTCCTCCTCCTCCTCCTCCTCCTCCTCCTCCTCCTCAACGGGGATTTTGGAGGAGGAGCCAGAATCGGAGGAGAATGTCAAGGGGCGGGAAGAGGGAAGGGGGAGAGGGAAGAATTGGGCTACAGTCGGACCGAGGTATAAGATCGAGGTTGGTTCGGGGAGGGAGCCCTCATGTTCTTCGTGTCTGTGTGAAGTTCGGGGAGGGTGCCCTTGGATGTTCTTCAGTTTGGCTGACGGAGGGTCTCCTGTTCTTCAGGGATTTTCTTCTGTCCTAGGTCCAGCTGTAGGAAATCGGAGGGGGGAGCGATGGGGGCGGCAGCCTCAGTGAACCGAGAGAGAGCGTATGTGGAGCGCGAATGAAGGCGAGGACATTGAAGGAGAACTGGAATGATGAGCTGGAGAGAGGAAGAGGGGGAGGGAAGAGTAGGGACGTGGGGGAAACACCTTCATAGGTGCCTGGGAGATTCAACGGGCCTTACCTGAATGCCTCCAAGCCGTTGGTTCGGGTTTTTATGTGTTACACAGTTCCAGGGGTGTTTGGCTCGCCAGATGACAGGTTTCAGTGTGTTCGGAGTTCTAGTTTCTAATGGAAGCTTTCAAATTGAGTTGGCAATTGTTTCGCGGGCTTGTGGTGGTTTCGGTGGTGTTATTGCCAGATCGTGCTCAGTTCCTGACGCTTCGTGTATCCCCGCGGGCCCAACCAGAACTGATTCACTGACGAGGTTTCTTGAGTAAGGCAATAGATCAGAGCGTGAAGCCGAGAAGGAGGATGCCCGTCACATCGAGCCTCCAACGGCTGTTTTTTTGGTTGCCTCCAGGGGGGGGCTCTTGGAGACCTCGGCCAAACATCGGGGTGGTCCCAACCTGTGGCGCCCAATTTTGGGGACTCGAGAAGTGTCGTCTGACAGCCCTCGGGGGATGCTCTTGCGGTGCTATTGCGAGCCTTCTGGGCATTCTTTGGCACCTAGGCGCGCATTTGGTCTCTCTTGGACTTCTCTGTGTCCACCCTGAGGCTCGTCGGAAGCGAACACTCAGGGACACACATTCAAGCTGTACATTCGTTTGTTCCGATGGTTTGGGGCGTTTCGGAGGCCTACTGGGAGGCTCACAGGCCCCCATCGGGCCGCCTCATGGCGGTCTTGCTGCCTCTTGAAGGCATGCTGGAGGGCATCTCGAAAATCAAGCTGGACCACCGTGCGCCCTCTTTCCTGGAGCCATCTTCGGAAATTGGAGCATATACATCACCAGTGGCGGGCTGCCTTTCCGTCCAAGGACTTCTCGAGGGTCGGGGACGACGTCAGGGTGGTGTGGCGTATGCTTTCTGTCTCCGTTTTTTCCGAAGAAACAGCGGGACATGTGTGCACCAGGGTTTCCTGTGCCCTGTCTCCCTAATTCCTGGTGTGCGTAGCCCGCCTAGCTTCTAGCGGAAGAGGTTCGCTCTCGCCCCGCAGATCAAAAATGTATGCACCAGGATCGCGTATACTCCAGGATCCGCTTTCCTGTGCAGAGTTCGGTGCAGGGCCGGAAACAAGCGGCGGCGTGCAGGGTTCGGTTCCCTGCACCGGGGGCGGAAAAGAGGGGGGTGATGACTAGGGGGGGGTGGATATCATGGCGGGGGCCATGATATTTCCCCAGATCTCATGGCGCCTCTTCTTATTTCATTACGTCCCTGGCCCCCCCCCCCCTGGGCCGCGCACATGCCGCCGGTCATGATTTGCACCCCCCCCTCTTGGACACCCCCCTCTTGGCCGCTCCCGATGCACCTGCGTCGGGCAGGGCTTGGAGCACTTCTCGGAAGGCCCGGGGGCTGCCGAGCCTTCCTGAGAAGGCCCGCCCCAGCTCAGCGTCACCCCCCGGGGCTTGCCGCCGCCGATCCTCTCTCTCTCCTCGCCCGTGTCCTCCCTTCCCCCCCCACCCCTTCCCCGCCCCGCGGACGGACTTTCGCGCAGGTGCCAAGGGGGACAAAGAGAAGAAGGATAAGGCCCGCTGGAGGAGAAGGAGGAGAAGGAGGAGGAGGAGGAGAAGGAGCCCAAGGTCCATCTGCGCCTGCCTCTCTTCTCAAGCCGACTCGCTACCTAACACCGCCCACACCCCACTTGTGTGGATGACGCGCCAGCTACGCGAACGCGCCTGTATTGATCTGGGTGGTCTTCCAGAGGATTCGAGATTCGTGAAGAAGATGCAAATCCTTCTTCAGCTGGGCTTCGATTGCGTCCATGGGGCCTCTTGCGCCATTGCGGGCGGGGGCCCTCCCCTCCTTCTGGCATGCATCGTCCCTCCTCTTCTGTTCTTGAGTTTCCTCCAGCCCTCGGCTCGGAACCGATGGAAAGGATGGGTAATCTTCCCAAGGTTACCCTTGCATCCATGCCTCCTCGGTCCATCCTTAACCACCTTCGATGGCCCGCCGTGCTCGACAAAGCTTCAACACGAGCGTCCAGGGGGCTTGCATCCTTACCGCGCATCCGCATTATCAGTTCTGATCGTAACCTCGACCCTCAGAGGGCTAGACCCCCAGGGGCGACGACGACGACGACGATGGTAACAACGACGACGACGTCGGCGGCGACGACGACGACGACGATGACGACGACGACGGTAAGAACGACGACGACGACAACGGAAACAACAACGACGACGACGACGGCGATGGCGACGGCGACAACGACGGGGGCGGCGGCGGCGACGACGACGACGACGATGACGGCGACGACGACGACAACTACCACGACGGCGACGGCGATGACGACGACGACGGCGACAACAGCTGCGGTGGCGACGACGACGACGATGGTGGCGGTGGCGACGACGACGACGACGACGCCGACGGCCGCGGCGGCGGCGGCGGCGACGACGACGACGATGACGACGACGACGCCGACGATGACGACGACGACGAAGGCGGCGGCGACGACGACGTCGGCGGCGACGACACTGGAAGGCTTCACGCTGCGGGTGGGGCCCAGGCCCTCTACCGACCCCAGAGCTTCCGACCCCATCCCTGGGGCTCCCTGGGATAGCCCCTGGGCCCGATCACCGGCCCTGGGAGGCCGAAGTTCCAGGCAACACATCCGGATTGAAGACATCGCGCTGCGGGCGGGGCCCAGGCGACGACGACGACAACGACGACGACGACGACGATGGCGTCGGCGACGACGACGACGACGACGACGACGACGACGGCGACGACGACGACGACGGGACCTGCGGGCATGGCCTCGCCAGCGCGATCGCAGAGCAGGTGCGGGCTTCCCCTCGGAGCGGCCGGGCGAGGGCGAGGAGCGACGAGCGAGGAGCGCTGGAAGGGGGAAGGAGGAGGAGGAGGAGGATGAGGAGGAGGAGGAGGAGGAGGACGAGGAAGAGGAGGAGGAGGGAGGAGGAGGAGGAGGACGGGGAGGAGCAGGAGGAGGAGGAGGAGGAGGAGGAGGAGGAGGAGGAGCAGGTTGGCTCATCTCTCGGAACAGGTGCACGCACGACGCCGAAAGTGCATGGGGAATGGACGTCCGAGCGATGGCAAGGAGCAGGAGGACGGGGGCGGGAGAAAATGGGGAAGGACTGCTCGAGCGGGAGGTTTCGGTGGAGGATGGCAGTCGCGACAACGGAATCTAGAGCCATTGGGTTGTATTCTTTCGCGTTGCATGTCCCGCTCGCGGGGTACTTATTCATGTACGTACTTCGGCGCGTAAGTCCTTGTGCGGCTCCCTATAAACTTGGTCCGAGCAGACCCAGAGATGCGACGCTCCAGAAAAAATGGAGCGGCTTTTTTTGGCCGTTTTCGGCCTCTAGGGGCCCTTGCTGGGCCTCGGGACCGTCAACTGACGACTCAGGATGGGAAGCTGGCCCTGGGGAATGGGTCGAGACTTCTGGGGGCCCCGCATTGAAAAAAATCACGTCATCGGATCTCTGGATTCTTGGCCTCCCAAGTTGGGCCCGAGCAGATGGGGTCGGAAGAGCGCGTCGCCTTGCCGATGCTTCGGCGATGCGGCTCGTTGATGTGGAGCCCGATTCTCTCGATGCATCGGCGACTCCTCGGCGAGGCGGTGCCATCTTCCGGCTCCATCTACTCGGACCCCATCTTGGAAGACTCTAGACATGCTCGCGCCCTGAAACAGTCCAGGCGGGAGGCTGTTGGCGATTTTCGTCCCCTCGGGGCTCTCGCAGGGCCCCGGGGCCGTCAGAAGACGACCCCAGGATGCAAACCTGGCCCTGGGGAAAGGGCCATGACCGCCGGGGGCCGCACATGGAGAACATCGAGACATCGCATGCCTGGGCACCCCGCTCCGGTCTCGCCCTGGACGCGCGTGCGGACCGCCTCCTGCCGCGCTGCGACGCACAAACAGTCCAGGCGAACGGAAGCGCCCGCGAGGTGTGCCCTGGCGCCGCCGCCTGCACACGCGCCACGGACGCCGCTTGCGCTGCAAGCGGCGTCCGTGGACACCCTTTTAAGGTAGCAGGCGGTCTTGCGTAGTTTTTGCCTGGCCGAGCTGTAAGCCGTCGCAGACGAAGAGGCCCCTTGAGGGCACGGCGGAGTGAGCATAAGCAACTTGCGTTAATCAGCTGCATCACGTTGCCGTTTGTAGGAGGAAAAAACGGACGCCGCTTGCGCTGCGGCTCCAGCGGACGTGGGCGCCGCCCGTCAGATGGTCTGGCTCGGCGGCGAGCCTGGGGGGAAGCGAGGAGGGGGGCCTTCCCAGAAGGCCCGGAAGTTCTGGGGCTTTCTGCGAGGTTTTCGAAGCCTTCCCCGAAGACGCAGGAAACCTCTCAGAAGGCCGGAGGGTTTCGGAGAAGCCCTGCCGCCTCCTGGAAAGGCCTTTTCCTTCCCCCCTGGCCCGCCGCCGAATTTTTGGTCATGACTGGGGTCTCCAGCGGCCGTTCGGGACGCTCTAGGCACCCCCAGAACGCTTTCGGCGAGGCGCAGCTGCTGGAATGCATCCCGAGGCTCGAAAACCGCCGAGAAACAACGAAACCGTCCGAAAACCTTGAACCTCGAACCCGAAACGCTCGCCGCCGACTCGAGGCGGCCCGCGCTGGCATGGCCGTCGCACGGCAATCCGCCTCCGTTGCGCCAGGTTCGAACCAGTAGTGACCCCTGACCCCGCCCGGTTTTCCCGGGGGGGTTCGAACCGGTAGTGACCCCCCCGGTTTTCCGGAGGGGAGGAGGGGGGGGTTGCCGGGGGAGGGGAGTGGAGGGAGTCGTGGTTGTCAGGCCCATGTCAGCCTTTCTTCCTCCTGCGCCTCTCTCTGTATTCATTTGTGCGCCGCAATATCGGCTCACAAGGGCCGTTGAGTCATATCGGCGCGCAGGCGGCGGGCGCGCCCTGGCCCCCGTAAAAGGAAAGAGAACGTGCTCTCTCACAACACGGGTTCCCCCCACTGTACTTCGTGTCTCTCTGTACTCCATGCATTCACTCTCGTGCATCCCGCAATGGGGGAAGAGGTTCGAGCGGGGGGGGGGTTCGGATGGGAGGTGGGGGCCCTCAGGTTCCGGAGGAAGGAGGTGAACATTTTCCACGGCAAAGCGGCGGTGGATCACGCTTTTTTCGGATGTCGCCACCTATTGTTCGGGTCGCAGTGCGCGGTGCCGTCCAGCGCGCGCGGCTCGCCGACGCGGCAGTGTCGCTCCGTTCCGTGACGCCCGCCGAGCGACCCGCGCGCGCATTCGTCGACGATCACCACGCCGTTGCGCATTGGGCCCCAGTAGTGCTCATGTCGACTCCCCCGTCTCGATTCGATTCGATTGCGATGGTTTCGATTCGATTCGAGTCCGCTTGTCGATCTGAGTCTTGATTTGCAAGCGCAGGACTAGGCGCCCGAAGCCCGAAATGCACGGGGAATGGACAACCGAGCGACGGTAAGTTGTCCAGGGGTGGCCCCTGCCCCAGGCGGCCTCCGCGAATCGACCTCCTGCAGCGCGCGCGCGCGGGCCGTGATGCAGGCAAGGCCCGATCCCCGCTCCGCGCCCAAGAGCGCCGCCAGGCACCCTGGGCAGGGGGAGCCACGGCGGGACCCGCCACAGCGACCTCTCCACATCTCGGGGTGGACGTCCGAGGGTGGCGAAAAAGTAGCGGCAAGGGTGCCCCTTAATAATACTCCGAGCATCGGCGCCCTCGGCGCGGCAAGCGACAGGCCCAGACATCGAGCCGCGTGGCCGACGCATCGGCGAGGCGGCGTTCGTCTGCAGCTGGGCACCCGCCCCCACTGCCGCGGCGGCGGCGGAGAGCCCCTCGTCGTCGCCACCGCTGGATTCGCCTCGGAGTCCCGGTCAGAAAGCGCCCCGGGAGAGGTCCGGGGAGCAGCGGTATCGGTACCTCCTGGGTCTCCCCAGGTGCTCTTCTCCGATGCATCGGCGGTGCATCGGTTATGCGGCGCGATCCTGTGACCCCAGCTGCTCGGGCCCCATCTGGGTTTTCCTCCTTCCCCCGCCGTCCTCCTTCCTCCCCCCGTGCCCATCATTTCCAGACGCGCCGGATCAGAGGCCACGGCATCGCCCACCTGCTCTTAGCCAGGCCCAGGCGTTGTCCGCAGCGGTTGTCGTTCGTTTCGTTCGTTTGCTTCTCCCTTGTCGTCGTCGTCGCCATCGCCGCCGTCGTTGTCGTCGTCGTCGTCGTCGTCGTCGTCGTCGTCGTCGTCGTCATCGGCGTCGTCGTCGCCGTCGTCGTCGTCGTCGTCGTCGTCGTCGTCGTCGTCGTCGTCGTCGTCGTCGTCCCTCCTCCCTCGGGCCTCCTGGCCCATGGGCTACGCATCCCAGGCGGCGGGCACCGCACAGGTCCCTCGTTTAATCTCGGGAGCAGCTTCGTTTCCCGCTCCTTCCGATCAGGCCCACTCTCTGCTGCTCCAGACGCCATCTGCACGCGGGCACGACGGCGTCTGTGCGCGGCCCCCTCCCCCCCCTGCACTCCCTCGCAGGCCTTCTCTCTCCCTCCCACTTCTTCACTCCAGGCTCCCCAGCCTCCCTTACCGCACTGCTCCCACCCTCTCTTCCCCTCTCCTCCCCTCCCCCTCCCCTCCTCCCCTTCCCCCTTCCCCTCCCCCTTCCCCTCCCCTCCCCCTCCCCCTTCCCCTCCCCTCCCCCTCCCGCTCTCTCTCCCGGTCTCCCCCGATGGGGCGGGGGCGCAGCGGAGATGCACGCGCGGCCAGTCCGAGGGCGTTGCTCGTGCTTTCTCTCTCTCTCTCTCTCTTTTTTTTTTTTTGTTCTCTCTCTCTCTCTCTCTCTCTCTCTCTCTCTCCCCCGGCCCTCCCCGCACGGCGCCAGTTCCCGGTCAAAGAATTCGCATTCAACGTCGACGCCGCAGAGTTCGTGCCCAGCAGTTTTAAGCCGCCCCAGGCTGCGCGCGCAGGGGGGGGTGCAGGGGCGAGGCGGCTGGAAGTCCTTTCACAGGAGGAGGAGGAAGAGGAGGAGGAGGAGGAGAAGGATGAAGGAGGAGGAGGAAAAGGAGGAGGAGGATAAGGATGAAGGATGGAGGAGGAGGAGAAGGAGGAGGAGGAGGAGGAGGAGGAGGAGGAGGAGGAGAATGGGGATCAGAAGGAGGCTGAGGGGGGGTGTGAGGGGGGGGTGAGCTCAGGAGGACGAGGGGGCAGACGTAGAGTAAGAGGACGACGATGAGGCGTGAGGTGCACAGCAGCGCCAGCGTGCATCTCCTGCTTCTCCTCCCGGTTCTCCTCATACTCCTCCGGAGTCAGCCGAGAGGCGGCAGTTTGGACGCCGTGCGATGAGGCCGCTGGTCCACCCCGCCTCGGGCGCGTCGCCTGCGCGGGGTGCCGAGACCAGGGGCACCCACTCACGGGCGTGAGCACGCGGGTTTAAAACTCCTCCTCCTGCTCCTCCTCCTCCTCCTCCTCCTCCTCCTCCTCCTCCTCCTCCTCCTCCTCCTCCCCCCTCCAGGAGCACGCGGGTTTAAAACTCCTCATGCTCCTCCGCGTGCCCGCAGTGGCCCGCCGCCGTGCAGCCGGGGCCTTCAGCACCTGCATCGCCGCGGGCGTGCGGCGGCGCGGTGCAGTCGGCGGGCACCTGTTCGGTACCACTGCGGAGCGGTGGAAAGACGCGGTCAGTGAGTAGGGAGTAGGGAGTAGGGAGTAGCGAGTAGTGCGACGTGGGTAGTGCGTCGTGGGTAGTGAGTAGTGAGTCGCGAGTCGTGAGCAGTGAGTACTGAGAAGTGAGTAGTGAGAGTAGCGAGAAGCGAATCGTGGGTGGTGAGTAGTGCGTAATGGGTAGTGAGTGCTGTGTGGGGCTAGGGTTTGAGTTTGGGGTTATGATTAGGGGTTAGGGTAAGGGCGAGGATTAGTGCAAGGGGTGGTAGGGGTCGGGTTCCGGAGACCGGGGGCGCCGTGGCGAAAGGGGGGGAGGGGGGGGCTCGAATTTGGCGGCCAAAGGGGGGGAGGGGTGGGGGGAGGTCGGACCCCCTCCCCTTTTTTGAAAGGGGGGGGGGGGGGGGGCGGGGTTCCCCGACGACGGATCGGGAAAGGGGGGGAGGGGTGGGGGGTGCCCCGACGACGGATCGGGGAGGGGGGGGGGGGTTCCACCCACCCCCCCTTGGGGACATCCAGCGGCGCGCCCTCGATGATTGGGGGGGAGGGGGACTTATCATGGCCAGGGCCATGATATCTCCCCAGATTTCATGGCCACCTCGTCTTCTATCGATGCGTCCCTTGGCCTCCCCCGGGCCGCGCACGTGCCTCGGGCAGTGATTTGCGACCCCCCCCTTGTTGGACGCCGCCTTCCTGGACGCCCCTGGAAACGCGGGGGATTGCTGCTTTTTGCAAGGAATCGTGGCCCTGAGAGCGCGCATGATTTCTCGCGGGGAGTCGTGGTCCTGGTAGAGCGGCGGAACCGTTTTTGGGACGCGTCTTTGGGCAGCCAGGGGCATAGTGAGCTGGTCCGAAGGTGGGCACTCTTCCAACATCTGAGGCCAAGTTGTATACGCCAAGAAGCAGAAGCCATGACCTGCTAAGTTGGGACTGTTCAGAACGATGCCGCGTTGCCAAGCTGCTGCGCGCGTAGGTGCTGGCGTGCCGAGGAGGTTCGCGCATCCTGGCCGCCCGCACAAACGGAGCAGGCGTAGCTTTTATGTAGGTGAAGCACTTGTTCCCAAAGACCTGCGGCACGACTCTGGCTTCTTTGCGGGTCTCTCGCAGGGGACCTGGGCCTGCGGCAGTGTCGGACCGAGCGCGCTGCAGGGAGGGGTGGACATCGGGGGACATGCGACCTACATGCCAGCCTCGAGAGGGCCCGCGAGTGGGGAGTGAGTGGGAAGGGGGAGGGGCGGAACGTCCGCTCCAAAAATATACACTGGTCCCCTCCAATGGACTGTTCCGGGGCCTCAGGGGAGAGTGACGGTGTATAAATCGCCACTGAGAGAGCCAGCTACTTGATGGTCCGCCGCCCTTAGGCCGAGGGCGGGCCTGGAGCCACGGCCCTGGCGTAGCATGGGGGCCCCAGACGGCCCAAGGGCTCCCAGGCGGGGCCCCGAGGATTCTCGGACGGCCCCAGAGCCGCCAGGACAGGCTCGAGCCCGCTCCAGACGCCCCGCGAGTATTCCAAGACGCGCGAAGATGACCTCAAGAAGAGCCCAGAGTTCCCCACGAGACACCCCACACATTTTCGTAATTGTTGACGCTCTGATGCTGATTTGTGATGCTCCCGCGCCATTTTGGCCGCGTTGAGCCCACTTCCGCTCTGAGCCGGGCGCCGATCGCTTCGCTGTTTGTTTTGCTTTGCTTCGGCGCGGCCCGCCTTAGCTTGCACGGCGTTCGACTCGTCTTCGCGCGCCCGCGTACCGAAAAACGTATCCCCACCAGCCCATGCAGAAACGATGTCCAGGGATCAGGGAAGCGGGGCAGCATGCAGAAAAACAAAAGGCGGGGGAAGCCGGCATATACCCCAATTGATGGAGGAGGAATTGTCGTCGTTGGAGGAAAAGGAGGAACAGGAGGAGGAGGAGGAGGAGGAGGAGCAGGAGGAGGAGTTGGAGAAGGAGGAGAAGGAGGAGGAGGACGAGGAGGAGGATAATGAGGAGAAGATGGAGTAGGGCGAGAACGAGGACGACGAGAAGTACGAAAAGGAGCAGGAGGGGGAGGAGGAGGAGGAGGAGGAGGAGGGGAAGGGGGAAAAAGGGAGGAGAGAGGTTGAGAAACAGGTGGATGAGGAAGAGGAGGACGGCGAACAGAAGAGCCAGAAACTTCTTACATGCCTCTCGGAGTCTCCTCGGATGTGTCTTGGAAGCTTTTTGGAGGCCTCTTGGAGCGCCTTGGGGGCATCTTGGCGAGCCCAGGGCCGTCTTTGAGCGTCTTGGGTGCCCCGGGGATCTTCTTGAGCGTCTTGGGGGTCTCTTGGGAGCTTCTTGGAGGCCTTTTAGGTGCTTCTCGGGGCCGTCTGGGCGCCTCTTTGGGCCCTTTTGGGGCGCTCTTGGGAGCTTAAGGGGCGCTCTTGGGGCAATCTTGGATGACATTGATCAGAAAAATGAGAGTTTCAATTGGCCGCTCCCCCCCTCCCTGGAAGCCCCAAAAATTGTTGCCTGGAGCGCTCTTGGGCGCTTTGGGGGCCGTCTTGGGGCTTTCTTGAGCCTCTCTTGGGGCCCTCTTTGGCCATCTTGGAGCCATCTTGAGGCTCCGGATGGCTATCGGAAGCGAAAGGGCGAGAAAGCAAAGCACATTGATTTTCCGTAGGTGTTGGGAGGGTGCTGGCCTCTTCGGGGCTTCCTTGGGGAGCTCTTGGAGCCGTCTTGGAGCGTTCTTGGGGCCTCTTGGGGCATCTTGGGGGCCATCTTGATGCATCTTGGGCTATCTTGAGCCATCTTGAAGGTAATCTTGGATATTGGGCTCTCCGAGGCCCCCCTTGGGGCCGTCATGTGCCATCTTGGGCGCTCCAACTACCCGCGGAACTCCCCGTCCAGGTCCAGGAAAAAAGCAGGAGGCAGGGGGAGGGGTAAACCCTTCCCCGAAGGAGAAGAAGGTCGTTGAAGAGGAAGCTCCCTAGAACACCTACGCCCAGAGGGCTGGTGGTATTAGGCTAGGCTTCTGACTCACTTGGCTGCAGCCGTCCTTCGAGTCAAGTGCTCCCGCTTAGCGGCGGTGCCAGCTGTTCCTGCGACTCAGCCTGCCGTGCTCCCTCTTCTCGTGGCCTTCCCTGCCTTCTCCGACGCCTCCTGGTCTCCGCTCGGACCCCCCCGCCGTGCTCGTCCTCGTCAACGTCACGACGCATTCTGAGCCCAAGGACTTCCCTTGGTTAAATAAATGCGAGCCCCCAGAGGAGTACTCTGATTGGAACACAATGGGCACGGGGCGGGTGGGATCGCCAATATTTGTAGAAATGAGGATTCGACGCAGTGCGCCCATCCGCGCCGCAGAACCGATCCGCACCGCCATGCGCCAATCCGCAATCATCACCCATCTGCGCCGCGGAGCCCAATGTTAGCCACGAGCCCAGGGGCAGTGAAGGACCGTTCGGCCCCCCGGGCGAAGCTTCGGCCGAGTCCATGGATGTTAAAATGCTGCGGTCCACGTTTCGGTTCATCTTCTGCTTCGCAGTCGCGTTGCGCTCAGCTGCCTGCTTCGCAATCGCGGGGTGCTCCGCGTGTTCGCTCTCTGTTATGGATTTTCTGAAGAGTCGCCAATCGCGCGCTCTTCCGCCCACGCGTCCCGCAGGATGCACGGCTTAGTGGTGGGTGGTCCACGTTTCGGGGGGGGAAGCGCCGTTTTCGACACGATTTGCGGGGCCCGCACGGGGCCCGAACCCTCCCGCCCCCCGCCCTCGCCTTTGCACAGCGCCGACGTCGAGAACTCGAGGCCAGGCCACTGTGGAGCATGCAGTCTGCCACGCGCACTCCTTGAACGATTCGCACTCTCGCCTCGGCGCCGCGCGCACTCTTTCGAACAGTGACGTTCTCGCCTCGGCGCCGCGCGCGCGAGGTCAGGGGGGGGGGGCACGCGCCGCGCGCTGCTCGAGAAGCTGGGGCGACCAGACGTGCCATCGAATGGCGCAGCAACTCCGCAGTCGTCCTCCGCCCGCCACCTCCCTCTCTCCCCTCGTTTTCGCCCGCGTCGGGTCGGCAGGGCCTGCGCGCGGTGTCCGCCGGCCTATTCGGTTCGGCAGGGTCTGCGCGCTGTGTCCGTCGGCCTCGTCGGGTCGGCAGAGCTCTCATGAGGAGTCGTTGACAATGGTGTTTGCACTGAGGGATCCCGAGCGAGGAGTTTTTTAGGAAGGAGTCCTTCGGGAGGAGGGAATCGGAGGGGGGCCTGGCTGCTCACCCACATAGCTCACAACACAGAGGGGGGAAACGGCGGGAAGAAATTGTAGTTTTTTTTTTTTTTTTTTTTTTTTTTCTCTCTCTCTCTCTCTCTCTCTTTTTT